CAGGCTCTGCCTCTCCCCTGCCGTTCTCCCCCTTCCCATCCTCCCCAGCCTGCAGAGCGGGGTTACCTGAGGGCACCATGCTTTATTCATAGGCAGCCGCAGGCGGCAGCCCCATGTAACCTGCTGCCTGCATGTGCCTCTTGCAGCCCGGGTGACCCAGGCACTGTCACCCAGAAGGGGTGGTGGCAGGGAATGTTGTGCCTGCTGGAGCCTGCACTGGTGCACTCTGTAGGGAGGACATCCCTAGAAGAAGGATGCTCAGCCTCTCCCTGCAGCCCCCAGCCCTGCCAGCAAGACCTATATGGGAGAGGGAACAGATCCTGGGTCAGCACATCTGACCAGCATACTTTTTGCCAGGAGTCAAAAATCCTCCCCAAATTAGCTTCATCCAGTGGGCAGGGACTTGGTGCAGAGCTGACTGAGGATGGGCAGAGGGCAAAAGCCTGCCCATCCTGTCCTGCTGTTCTGCTGCTGCTGCAGAGAGGGAGGTGGCAGGGAGGGAGTTAAAGGAGAAACCCCATCCGGACAAACCTGCTGCCCAGGGGGAGAAGAGGACAAAGAGGAGTCAAGGTTAGGAGTCCGAAGCCCATGTGCTTCCTGCTCCCAGCCTTGACAAGGAGCCAGGGGAAGGAAGGGAGTCTTGTAAATACAGCAGCGGGGCCGGAGACGGCTGCCGGAGAGCACAGCCCTTCCTCTGCTGCACTCAGACACTTCCCACCACTCCCACCCTGGAAGGGACCCCCGAGACCTGCCAGGCCAGCATGTCCCCAGCAGCCCATACATTCGCCCTGGCTCAAGCTGAGGGAAGGTAGACCGGGCTCTGTGCCATGGTGGGTGCTTGGCCAGGGTGGCTGGGTGCCAGTGGTGCTTCGGAGGTCCCAGCTCCAGCAGAGTGCTTTTCTCCTGGTTCCTTTGCTGGGAACAACCAGAGGTGGCATATTCCCATACGGAAGTGACTCCTCATAAAGAAATGTTCACCAAGAGGCTGCACTTGGAGTGATTTCAGGAGCAGGGTGTTTATAACAGCAGCATTCGCTATAAAAGGGGGTCTTCTGGGGCAGGGCTTTCTTCTGGATGTGGGAGGTGTGCCAAGTTAAATAGCTGGGATGCTTCAGCATGGGCCTGCAGGTCTAGGTGTTCCTGCTGTGCTGCTGAGCCCTGCCAGGGAGCTGTTGGGGTCCCACACTCCCACTCCCACTTTTCTATCCCCCTCCCAGACTGTGCAGGCTGCAAGGAAGAGATCAAACAAGGCCAATCTCTCCTGGCCCTGGAGAAGCAGTGGCACGTCAGCTGCTTCAAGTGCCAAACATGCGGGATCATCCTCACTGGCGAGTACATCAGCAAGTGAGTACCAGAGTCCTGGCAGCAGGCTTGGCCATGCTGGCCATTGCTGGGGTGCAGGGAAGGGGTACCCAGCCCAGCTCACCCCTTTCTCGTCCCTCTCCCAAAGGGATGGCATCCCGTACTGTGAGTCCGACTACCACGCCCAGTTTGGCATCAAGTGCGAGACCTGCAACCGGTACATCAGCGGCAGAGTCCTGGAGGTGAGTCCTGGGGCCACAACCACCTCAGCCTGGTCTGTAATAGGGACCGCATGTGTCCTACCCAGAGGGGCATACCTTGGAGAGGTGTGGGATTTTCATTATCCTGCACCCTTGTATGCCTTTGGTGTCTTGAGGCCATGGCTCTTCCTGCAGCAGATGTGTGGACACAGTCTGACCACCTTCTCTGGAGGGTGGGAGTGGGGGAAGGACCACCACCATGCTGCAGACCTGTAGAAAGGTGGCTTGGGTACTGAAACTCCAGAAGCAGCCAGAGCGTGTGGTAGCCTGGGTGTGCTGGGACATGCCTGGAGCCCAAGATATGAGCACCCTTGCCAGCTGCTACCATGCCCAGCTCCAGAGTGTCCCCACCATGCTCAGCCCAGCCACCTTCTGAGCACATCCCTGTGCAGGCAGCCTGCCTGTTGCCTTGGAAACAGATCCAGCACTGCTGCGGAGCCCTGATGAGGGGCTGCGGCACCCTATCCACGGGCCCCTGTCCCCATGGCACACCCCTTTGCAGGGCAGCAACTGGAGCAGGACGTCCCCTTCCCTGGACCAAATCCAGAAGGGGCTTTGCTCATCGTGTATCTGGCCAGCTGGAGCTGCTCTGGCAAGGCCACCGAGGGATGCAGGGATCCCGGGGGGATCCCACATCAAGGCATGGATGCAGGTGGCTGTGGAGCACGTTCTGGGTGTTGGTGGAGCTGCACAACTGGCAAGGGGAGTGGGGCTTGCTGCTGGGGACAAACAGAGAGGTCTGTCAGAGCTGGTCCTTCCTGTCAGCAAGGTGGTCACAGCCTACCTGTGGTCTCTGCTCCTGAAGGTGAGGTATCCTGTCATGCTTTCTGTGTCTACTCCAACACTTGCAGCTAGAAAAGAAACCAAAAAAACTAGAAAATGTGATCTGGTGGTAAACTACCGCTCAGGAGACATAAAGACATCAGAATGAAGCCTGTTGTTATTTTTAGGCCCTGTGGTCATACTGTAGAGCAAGGCTGTGATGGCATAGAGAAGCAGCAATGCTTCTGAGCTTCTGAGCTCCTGCAGCTGGAGAGCAAACACCTGAATGGAGCAGGGTGGAGGCAAAGGCTTCCCTGACATCGGATGTCTGCTGCTGCTCCCCTGGCAATACAGTCCATGATAACCCTGTGCCAAGACAGAGCATCCTCAGTCACCCCAGCAGGGCACGGAGGCTGGGTGTTCATGATATGGGTTGTTCAGTGAGTGAGACGAGACAGAGGGGACCTGAGACCCCTGCCCCGGCTTGGAGGCTGTGCTGCCAGCCTGGCTGGCACCATCAGGCACGGCTGTCTCTGAGCCACTTGTTGCAGTGCTCTCAGGGTTTTCCTCACTCGATGCAACCACGGTGGAGTCAGGTCGCGCTGCTGCGTGTCTGAGTGGACAGACAGCAGCTCTGCAGGGCAGGATGGGTATGGAGGTAGCAGCAGCCCACTCTCCCTCACCTCTGGCTCTTCTGGCAGTAGCTCTAGTCCTCTCCGCCTCCCCCTGTGCCCTCCATCCCCAGCTGTGCTCCCAGCATTGGCTCTTCCTGACTGGAGGGGCCAGCCAGCTCTGCCCACTCATGCTGGGCTGTGGGAAGAAGCTGGCTAAATCTCAGAGACGCTCTGGACAGCCGTCATCTTGCATTAGCACCTTGCCTGCCGCACCCACGCCCGGGCATGGGAGCCCTCCTTGTGCAATGGGACTCCGTGGGCTGGAAGTAACATGCCTTGGCACCAGGGTCCCAGCGGGCAGAGCCGAGGTGCTGTCTCCTCACTGTCACAGAGCTGAGAGGAGCATAGGGTTTGGGTGCTGGAGGGCTGTGCTGGGCACCCCTTACCTCCCAAGGGCTGAGGCTGCACTCCCCACCCTCTCTGAGCATGTGCCTGCTGACAGTGTTGAATGATCTATAATACCAGAGGCTTTAATTGTCGTCTTTGGCAGAGCGTGAAATGGAAAAGGTGCCTTTAAATAATTTTAGGCCTTAAGAAGCCTTCTCATGCTATCCCAGCAGCCTCTGGGCTTCCCCAACTGCTCTAGCTGTGCAGCCAGGCTTGGGTGATTAATGAGTCTTTAAGGGCACCCCAAGTGATAACAAGCAGGTCTCTTCCCTTGCAGCCTCTACCAGCCTTTTTTGAGCTGTAATATTAACCAGTATAAAAGGAATAAGGTTTTGTGCATGGTTTGGAGAGCTGCTTCTCAAGGAGGAGTGGTGGCAATTGGAGATGTTGGGTGTTTTTTGGAGAAGGTCTGTGTTAAAGTTAAACTTGGGGCTTGGCTGGTAGCAGCCAACCTCCCCACACATCCACACCCCGATCTGCAAAGCATCCCCTTTTGGCACAGTCTCATCTGTGGCAGCAGCAGCCCATGTAGTCTAGATAGGAAACGATGTATGTGTATGGGTTTTCTTCCTTACTGTCAGCACGCCAAGCTTTTAGGGGTACTGAAAGGGTCCAAGGTTTGGGGAGGGACTGGGGAAGGTGGTACGTCAGTCACCTGTGTTAGCTGTCTCTAGCCAGTTGGAAATACAAGCAACAGGAACTGCAGGTGTGCTGGCCTGAAGCTGTAGGAGCTGGGCTTTACCTGGGTTATTTTTCGTCTCTTTTCCCTATGTTTACAGCCATCTCCCCCAAATGATGCAGCTCAGCATGCCTGCCGTGGGAGCGCAGCACTGGCTGGTGGGTGCCTGCGGCAGAGGGGTGCTGGCACGGTGCTGCGGCTCAGGGAGGCTGCTTGCTGGCACAGGGAGGTGCCTGGGCTGCAGGGCTGGCTCTTCCTGGATTTGGGGTGCACTGCAATGAAAGGAATAGGGGTCCAAACTCTCCCACTCATCTTCCCTGCCTGCCCTAAAACCTTCCACTCATTTTTGGCATAAGCTGAAGAGGAAAAGCCACAGACTGCTGTCTGCACCCCAAGGACATTGAATTACAGGTTGATATTTTATGGGCAGTCAACTGGCAGATTCTCAGTTATCCTCACAGCAAATTTTCCTGTTGATCTTCCTCGTTTCAAACCAGCTCCAGGCCTCTCTATCATAACCCCCTTCTTTGTCAGCAAGAGCCTCATCTTCCCTCTGCTGCCTTAAATTATCCTTCCTCTTCTCTTCGATTATTATGGGAGTAAAGTGTGCTTTGGGGTCGAGCTCTAACAGCGCCGCCCTGATTCCTCCTGCCCTGAGCCAGCTCCTGCCTCCCAGCTCAGAAAACGAGCCTGTAATTGAAATGCTAGCAGACACTTTGAGTGGAAACAAGATACCAATTAAAGCTGTTATCCCTGTCAAAGAGCAAAGGGAGCAGCCCAGCTCCTGCTCAGCTGGGGAGGAGCGTGTTGCTAGCGCTGGAGTTTGAGCAGGGCTTCACAGAAGGAGAAAAGTTTCTTTAGGGAGATAGTGGTAGCCAGAGGAAGGGTCTAACAGCAAGAAGCAGCCTATGCTTTGGGAGGTTTATCTTTGTAGCCCTTCTCCCTTTGTTGTTTCCCTGCTGGGACATCATTGCTGTTTGTCTTTAAAGCTGTAGAGGGAAGGAGCAGGTAAAAAGCACAGACGGCTGCTTGGCTGAGTGTTACTGCAGAGGGTCTCCGGTATTTCCAGAGTGCAAGGACATTTTGTAGAGGTACAAATGGGACTTTGGGACCTTTTGGCTCTGCTTTCCTGTGTGTTGGATAGTTCAAGTTGAGCAGCAGGTTCCCAGTCGGACTCATAGCCCAGCAGGTCAGAAGCACTAGCAATGAAGTGGTCTCTGGTTTTCTCCATGTGTTGTGGCAGACTCTGAGACCAGCCTGGGCAGTTTTGCTCTGTTGGCCTTGTCATTGTCTGCAGCAGCAAGTGATGCTGGCAAGCAGGTCAGGGACACGAGAAGGTCACCATGTCCTTCCTTGCTCAGGGCCCCTTCTCCTCTGCTCGCCCTTGCAGGCAGGAGGGAAGCATTACCACCCCACCTGTGCCAGATGTGTCCGCTGCCACCAGATGTTCACGGAAGGAGAGGAGATGTACCTCACAGGTAGGGATCCCGCTGCGGTGAGCAGGGACTCCCCTGCCCTGTGTCCAGGCAGGGACCAGCGTAGCTGTGCAGAGGAGTGCTGGCTGTCAGGGCGTTGGGGGTTCAGGTCCTGATGATGATTGGTGCTGAAAGCATGTCACTGTGCACCAGTGCCAGGGACCCTTCTCTGCTGCTCCCAGCCCCTGTGTGCTTCCTGCGCCATGTGGCAATCTTTTCTCTCCATGAAACCTTCCCTTCTACTGAGCTAGAGGAGACTTTATTCCTTGTGGGCAGCTTTTTGCTCCCTGTGCGTCTCCCTGCACAGCTGGGGAGCGCTGCCAGACAGGCCTGGATGTGTCCCTGGCCTGCGCCCAGTGAACAGAGGCTGGGATGGGTGCAGGGTCCCTGGCTCACCACTCCCCAGCCCCAGGGAAGGGGGGTCCAGCACCACTTCCCCAGCTCCCC